TTTTCAATGGAACTTTACCCCTATACTAGGGTTAGGGGTGTGCACCATGGTAAGGTTAGGGTTAGAAAAACGAGGTGTCCTGGCAGGGTTTTGATGGTTGGAATGTGTTTAGAATGGGCAGAAAGGATGAGCTGTGCAGAAAAAGCTCCTCAAGGGGGGCTTTTTCAAAATCGCATTATTTTCAATGGAAATTTACCCCTATTTTAGGGTTAGGGGTGTGCACCAGGGTAGGGTTAGGGTTAGAAAAACGAGGCATCCTGGCAGGGTTTTGATGGTTGGAATGTGTTTAGAATGGGCAGAAAGGATGAGCTGTGCAGAAAAACCTACTCAAGGGGGGCTTTTTCAAAATCGCATTATTTTCAATGGAACTTTACCCCTATACTAGGGTTAGGGGTGTGCACCATGGTAAGGTTAGGGTTAGAAAAACGAGGTGTCCTGGCAGGGTTTTGATGGTTGGCATGTGTTTAGAATGGGCAGAAAGGATGAGCTGGGCAGAAAATCTCCTCAGGGAAGGCTTTTTCAAAATCGCCCTCTTTTCAGGGGAACTTTAGCCCTATATAATGGTTAGGGGTGTGCGCCAGGGTAGGGTCAGGCCAGTGGTGGCGAACCTATGGCCCGTGTGCCGCAGTGGCCCCAGCATCGCCGCAGCAGCGAGCATCATATAACAGCACACACAGGGGCCATGCAGATGCTCGGTAAGAATTGTTTGTGTGTATTTGCTTGGACTGGCTGTGAGGTGTTTTTTTCTAAACTAAAACCTCCATTTTCAGGTTTTATCGCAGTGTTGGCACTGTGTGATATGCAAGTGGGTTTTGGGTTGCCGTTTGGCCCGTGGTCTCTGAAAGTTTTGCCATCACAGCAGTTCCGACACTGGGACACTGGGGCAAAACCAGTTCCCTTCTACACACCCAATTCAGGGAACGGAATAGACCGGGAGCCGCACCTGGGCTGCCGCGCACCGCAGACTGTCGGCTTCTTGGACGGCTCCGTTGCGTGGAGCCTCCCGGGATCCTCCCTCGGTGAATGACACGCTCTCTCTGCTTCCCAGGATCCATCACCTCCATCCGTTCCCAGCCCGTGGGGCCGAGCTCCTCCCTGAGGGTCCCGCGGGAGCCTCTGTGCCCAACAACCCCCCTTCCCCGTCACGACGGCATCGGCCCACGGAAGCTCCTGCCGCCACGTGCCGCGTCGCGATCGCCCAGCCTGACCCGGCTGCTGTGCAGACAGGTAGGACGCCTCCTCTGTCCTTGGCCGGCTCAAAGCCGCGGGGCGAGCCGATTCGGGGCAGCCCCCCGGGCTCCCTGCTAGCAAGCCGGAGGTCTCGAGCGGCGCTGGGCCCCCTGATGCAAGCCCACCCTTCCGGCACCTCTGAGGACGGCCCAAGCCCCGCCAACGGGTCTGAGCTCACATGCGGCCCGTGCTCGGAGGGAGGCAGGCACATGGGTCAGAGATCCGCAGCCCCAGGCCCACGGCAGGGAGGTTTTCCTGGCCACGTCTCCTCCCCCCAGAGCGCAGGACACAGAGTGATGGGCTCGAGTTCCAGGAAGCAGATCTTGGCTGGCGATTGGGAAGACCTTCCTGACTGCAGGAGCGATTCCAGTTAAACCCCAGGCCTAGGGAGGTGGGGGGCTCTCCCAGACGCAGCTGGACAGCCACCTGAGAGGGGTGGTTTCTCTGGGGGCCCTGCACTGGGCAGGGGGGCAGTCCCAGTGGCCCCCTGGCCCTTCCAGCCCTGCCGTTCTTTGATCCTGCTGTCCGCTTCAGGGGCATGGAAGAGGTCAAGCGGCCGCGGGGCGGGGGCCTCGCGACCCCAGGTCCCATCAGCTCTGTTTGCAGCCCAGAAACGCCCGTTCTCTCCTCTCTCCGCCCCACAGGAGGCCTTCCGGAGGGACTCCCTGGACACTCCCGGGGCGGATTCGAAGGACAGCCTGCAAGCCGAGGCCTGCGAGAGCCGCCCCCCGAAGCAGCTCTCCCAGAGCACCCTGGGCCCGCCTGTGCGCCACGCAGCCCCCCTGTCCCTGCCCGGGACGCCGCCTCCCCCCCGCGCCTCGCCCCACCGGTCCTCCAGTGTCCGCGTCCGCCGGCACCCTCTCGCCTCCGGCAGGCCCCCCAGCCGCAGCAGCGACCCACAGGTCTCCCTCCTGGAGCCCTCCGACCCGGCTGATGAGGAGGTGAGCCACATCACCAGCTCGGCGGGGGGCTGGGCCGAGCGGTCCGGCGGGGGCGGCCCCGGCTCCCCCTTCGCCTCCCCCGGCCCCTCCCCGGCCCCGGCCCCGCTCAAGAACTGCAGCTCGACCAGCCTGGCGACCGGGGGCGGCCGCGAGGGGGACGCCAAGAGGCCGCACCGCGTGGACCCGCACGGGCTGCTGGCCAAGCCCAGCTGGGCGGATGACCAGTGGCGGCACTCCATCGAGATCTGCCCCTCCGCGCAGGAGGGCAGCCACGGCTTCTGCGCGCCGCCGGAGGAGAAGCGGCGGCTCGGCCCGCACGCCCAGGCCGAGGCCGAGTACCTCCACGGGGTGCGCCGGAAGAAGAAGATGAGCCCGCCGTGCATCTCCATAGACCCTCCCGTGGAGGACGAGGGCAGCGCCGCGACACGTACCAAAGCCTCCGAGAACAGCCTGCTGCGCAGAAGGACCCCTTCGTGCGACTTCCACAGGGACTCCCTGGAGCTTGCCGACACCCCGTCGGGAGAGCAGGCCCCCAAGACAGACCGCCGGGCGCCCCCCGCCTGCCGGGGGGAGCACTTGACAATCCCGAACTTCTCCTTCGAGCAGCCGGAAGCCGGCTCTGCCGGGCGGCTCTTGGAGGGCGGCCAGGCCGCCGCGCCCTCAGCAGACTCCTGGCACGAGGACGGCCCGGCCCTGGGGCCGCAGGAGACAGACCCCCTGAAGCCGCCGGACAACGGGCCCGAGCGGAGCCAGGAGGCCCCCAGTGGGGCGCGGAGCCCCCTGCGGAAGCACGGACTGGTCCCCGCGATCACAGCCACAGACGAGGACCCCGAGGAGCCGGCATAGCCTCCGAGGGGAAGGTCGCGAGCGAACGAAAGGGCTTTGCCACCCCGGTGGCTCCGAAGTAGGAACACGACCGAAACGTCACACCTCTGTGGCCGACGCTCCTCCCAAAACACTTGTCTCTCTCTTTAAGCGCTGTGAAGGTTTTGTTGTCGTCGTCGTTGTTTTCTATATAAAAAACGAAATCAAAGAGAAGCTGGTTTAAAAGCAGGAGCAAGGTTAGGGTAAGGAAAGGAGATGTGTTTTCCTTTCCAAGCGGCACAGGGAGTAGCTTTTCCGATTTTTCTTTTCCTGCCCCCCTCCCTTGGCGTGGCCTCGATCACATTGATTTGGGTTTCGGGCCTTTATTTTATCTTTTTTAAAGAAAACAAAATAGGATTTAAAGAAAAGAAACAAACCTTTTTTGACTTTTTTGAACGGCACCTTTTATTATTGCACGGAAAGTTGGTCACAGGAAGTGAAAGTGCCCAGTATATTGTCTGTATATCAGCAGTTATTATAAATAGAGAATAATGTATTTCAAAAAGGAAAAACTCACACACGCAAACAGAGCCACACTCACGCACACAACACGGCATTCACATTCACGCAAAAGTTCTTCTCATCATAATCCAGGTACGTTTATAGGCAGCAGTGGTCCCAATCCAGCTACAGTGCGAAGTCCCCCTGAAGCTAGCAGGAGACGCTGGCCTGGTCTGCGGAGCTCCGCCGCTTTCCACCTCACGAGCAGGCGACGCGTCTGGCCCTAGGAGTGAAGCCCGGCTGCCGAAACCCCCCAATTCGCGAGTGTACAGGATGTTGTCTGTATCGGAAACTTGCATGGCGCATACATCCTGTATGCGCCCACTCAGAATTGCATCCCATTAAGTTCTGCCCCGGCACATGGGAGTGAGTGTCACCACACTTACTCCCAAGTAAGCGTGCCTAAGACTGCAGTCACTTTAGCTGGATTGGGGAGTTTCTCCCACATTTGTCTTTCTTCCTTGCACTGACATCAGTTCTCAACTGGATGGTGTGTTGCTAGATTCTAAGTGGAAGCTTAACGCTCACCGTTCTCTTCAGTTTCGCACCAAATATATACCTTCCCTCCTTCCCTCCGTATAACCTCACTGGCTTCAGCTTCCGGCAAATGTTTTGGTGTCCTTCCAGCCCTTTCCTTTGCTTCAGCTCATTTCTTTGATGTCCTCACTATAGGAGACATAAAACCAAAATCACTACTGAATTGTAACTAGTGCAATAACAATCAGTTACTCATTCTTCCTCTGGGTACCAGGATCTGTCCTTTTATTTTTACTTCGCATATAATCAAGCAATGTTGGTTTTTCCCCCTTCTGTTTTCTTATGGAATTCAGGTTAAATGTTGCAATAAGTTGAACTTTAAATTGCACAATGAGGGCTGAACGTGAGAAAGATTTCTGAAGTTGACAGGAAAAAAACAAACAAAAAACAATAAATAGTAAATTATTTAATGCATGTTCTTTGGTTTGCCACACTCCGGAGTCGGTTCACTGTCTGGTGCAGAGGTTCTGCATGCCGCTTGCAAGCACCTGTTGTGTGTCTGTGACAGGGTACATGCTGAAGGAGGAGGAAAAGTTGGTGCATCTTTTTGGTACGATTCACGATGGACGGGAAGTGCCGAACACACACGGCACTGATTGGCTTGTGCCCGCATCTCCGCCAACACACCGGCTCCCCTGGCGCTGCCGTTACAACTGGGGAGCACATGAGAAGCATCGGTTCATTTTTTAAAGAGCGAACGTACAAGCAGAGGTAAATGGTTCAAAAACGCCGAGGCATCTGCAGGAGAACAAGACGGGAGCTGTGACGGCATTCGGCTTGATGGGATAAGACAAATGCCGGGCAAGCTGAGAAGTCGGGATAAGAGCTTGCCCTTGTACGGCGGGCCAAGAGACTGCAGCTGCTGATCAGTCCTAATCATGTTGCCTTGGAGGGCTTTTGGGGCCCAAGGGCCGTTCGTGCATTTGCAAACGATTGGATCGAATGCATTAATGACGGTTAAGGTCAAGCCGGACATGAATTCCCTGCCCATTCATTATACGGGGAGCCCCTCCCTCTCCAAGACACGCGAGGCGATGCGCACAGTTCTCTCCCCTCCCGGGTTCGCCTTTGCAACAGCCCTGCAAGGTCACCTTGCCGAGGTTCAGGTGCAGAGCTCAGCCGCAGCTGTCCTGGTCCTGATCCAGCTCTCCAATGGCTCCAGTACTGGAGGGAGTTTCTTCCTTGCTCCCTACGTGCTTTCCCAAATAAAGTGAGATCTCTCCGACCCAAACCTTCTACTTGTTGCAAAAGAGTGAACCGCCAAAAGCAGCGGCCAGGCGGCAGCGCTGGGAGCTCCGGAGCAGCACCTCACGGGGGCACCGGGCCTTCACCTGCACCGGAGGTGCAAAGGGGGTGCGAGGACACACGTGCAAAGCACACCCATGTTAGAGCATTGGGGGGAACGCGATCCTAGAAGTGCTAAACCCTGAGAAGTGTCGCATTCTGAGCACCGGGCCGGGATGCAAGAGACCTGGGTTCTAGTCCCCACTCAGCTGTGACACCCACTCTGACCCAGTCACGGCTGCCCAGCCTAGCCTACCCCACAGGGTGGTTGTGAAGACAGAACTGTGTAAGCTGCCTTGAGTTCGTTGCAGGAGAAAAGAGCGAGCTATAAGCATAAGAAGAAGAATGGCATCAATGCATCCATAAATGAGTCATTCACTAGAAATCCAGGACACTGAATGCGCAAGCAAGGAAAGCCGTGAGTCCGATCCAGAAGGTTCAGAAGCAAAGTACAAGCTTTACAGGCCCTTTATTGCTTCTGAGAATGGGTGCTGTAAAGGAGATGCATTTAAAAAGAAAACGAATTCGTAATAAAAACCCACAAGAAGAGAGCTTCTAGCTCGGAGCCATTAAGATGCATCTCGGCATTAAAAGCTTTCCTGGGCCGGATCGTAAGGATCGCGTCAATGCAGTTATTTATCCTAAAATGCTTGTGCAAATATTGAACACATTTTTTAGTATTCAGGCAGCCTTTGATTTTGTAATGATGAGAGATTAAAGGCTGCTTTTAATTTAATTAGGGCTGCCGTCTCGTTGGGGGAGGGGGTGTTGCGTGTTTTCCAGTGGATTTTCTTTTTTAAAAAAGAGAATTTTAAGCCACTGCAATCAGAAATTGAAACGCTATGCATTGAGTGCCCAAGGGATGTTTGGGGGGGAAAGGGATTAAGGGAGCCCATAGGAGCACCCCAAGTTAGTTCCGCTTTGCAGCCCTTGCAGCATCCCTTCTGTCCGCTGGCCCTCGAGGCGGTTACAGGGCGACAGGTGAACACATCAGGTCCATGCTCTTCTGGGGAGCATGGAAGGAATGAGGCGAGCCCACAAATGCTGCGGGGCACGTCCCCTTTTCCACTTCCCTGGCCAGCCAGGGAGCAGCACCGGCGAGGGAACCAGGAGGAGCCCTCAAAGCAGCGCACGCTGGAGCGAACGGGCGTGTTTTCCCCCAGCAGGAGGGGCAGCCGTGCTCCAGGTGAGCCAGAGCCCCTGCCGGCACGTGGAGCAGCCGAAAAATGAAGCAGCTCTGTGCACCTTGGGGGCTCTGTGAAAACCGGACCACCATCCCCCGTTGGATGCACAGATGTGCTGCTAATTAATCTCGGGAAGGCATAAGTCACGGTCTCCCACCGTGGGCTGCAGGAAAACGGCTAGCCAAGGCCAAGAAATGAAGGGAAGCCTTCTGAGAGGCCGAAGCGTCCCCTGGCAGGGAGGATCCCCCCCCAAGTTCAGGCACCCCAATGACCCCATCCAGCCCCCTCATCCTCTGCCGCCCCCTTCTCCTTTTGCCGTCGATCCTTCCCAGCATCAGACTCTTCTCCAGGGAGTCCTTCCCTCTCATTAGCTGGCCAAAGTGTGTGAGCTCCATCTTCAGGATCTGGCCTTCTACAGAGCAGGCAGGGCTGAATTGGGCCCCGTCCGTGGGGTTTCCATGGCAAGGGCACTGCAGCGGGTCACCGTTTCCCTCTCCAGTGGGTCACCTTTTGCCAGAGCTCTCTGCCATGGCCAGTCCGTCTTGGGTGCCCCTGCACGGCAGAGCTCAGAGCTCCATTGCGCTACGCAAGCCCCTACGCAAGGCAGTGATCCCTGAAGGGGACCCGAAGTGTAAGACCCACAACTTACCCCAAAGAGACATTTCCCTGGGGAGGAGGCCTCTTTCCTCTCTTTGCCCCTCCAACATTTTCCCAGAGGAAACTGATTCTTTGTGGGATGTCGGCATGAAGGGCCACCTATCCGGTGAGGCAAAGACCTTCTCCAGCATCCAATCCACTGTGGACTTGACAAGGACCGAATTCTAAGCATGCCTGGACAGGGAGAAGGCCCACGGCTTCCAACACCCTCCAGCCACTTTCCTCTGTCCCAACATGCGAATCGAAATGCATCCTACATTTCTCTTGACTTCAGCGTTTGCAACCTACTTTGCAAAAACCAGCTTGGCCAACGGACTGGTCAGCCAAGGGCCATTTGCAAAGCCAGCGCGAGCTGCTGGCCCAGCTTGCGAGTTCCCCGTTGCTGTTTTCATTCCGGCCACAGAAGAGACTTAAGAAGTAAAATGCGAAGGCACAACTAAGGAAGGATCCGTGTGGACTCTCTGGACTCTGGTGTCTCATGACGCAGCTTTCTGCGCTGGCTGCCTGGCCAGGGGTGCGGCTGCCGAGCGCAGGAACGAGTGGGCCCTGGGCCAACTTGTCTTCATCAGTCGAACGTCCGGCCACCGTGCTCTGCTTGCCAGCACCTCTCCCTTCCCCGGGCTTCTTCTACGTGCAAGTTGCCCACAGCAGTGCAAGAGTGTGCTTGGGCCAAGGGTCTGCAGCAGCCAACGCTCCGCACTCGGCCCCTCAGAAGCGCCAGGGCCGTTCTTCCCCGTGCCCAGAGCCGCGTTCTCCATTCATCCCCCTCCTTTTTCCAGAGGATTAATTGAACGTCCCTGAACGGCAACATCCACCTGTCAAGCATCTTGCCTTTGATGCCGGGATGAATCATTCATTAACAAACAGCAAGGACAGATGGTGCAAACCGTCTCCAGATCCAATTGTTCCAGGGAGGGGCAAGAGTTCAGACACCAACAAATAGGCCCCTCTCCTTTTTTCTGCTGCAAGAATTAGGATTGATACGGCTCACTTTCCTCTGGAGAAGCCTTTGATTTATGCCCATTACACCAGGCATAAACGGGGTGGAGGGAAAGGGAGGGACTGACGGTTTTCAACCTTGGCCAAGAGGAATTGTGCTATCATCCACCCAGGCAGGCAGAACGGGCTGATGGCTCATTAAAGGCTGAGCTGCAGCTCCTTTTATTCAGAAGCGCAATCACCCACACTAAAAATAACAAAGAGCAACACATTGGTCCACAAAGGGAAAGAATCCCAAATCTAGTTGGGCACCAAGAAAAATTCTGCAGAACAATGCACGCTTCCACCGTCTCTGGAACGCCTGATCAGGCCAGGCGGTCCAAACAGCAAGCGATGGAGAAAGAAGCAGAAACTTCTGAGAAGGTGGCCGTGGAGTCCGCCGTTCCCCCGGCCTAGGCTCAGGACGGAGCTCTGCAGACTCAGTCAGGTAGTGCCGGGGTGCCGATGGTTCCCCGGCTCCATCCCAGGTTCCCTCACATATGAGATGAAGCAGCTTCAGCGCTGCTCTTGGAGAACCAAACCGTGGCCCTCACGCTCCGTGACAGGGCAGAGGCAGTCGCCCCCAGCGAGCCCCTTCTAAAAGGCCACCGCCATCTGCTGGATCCCGGGCTGGACAGAAATGCTAGATGGAGAGCCCCTCAGCTGCAGCACTGGGGGTATCAGGCTATTTCTCTTTATTTGTTTATTTGGAGTTTTTATATGCCATCCCATCGCTAAGCGCCTCGGGACGGCTTGCATAAACAAACATAAATAGACAACATAGTGCCCAATACAAATGCAAAAAATATAAATTACACAAATTAAAAACCCCGATTCATTCCGGCTGGAAATTAAAACCGATGGATAATATTAATCGTTGTTAAAATATTGTTTAAATAAAAAGGTCTTAGCCTATGAGGCAGGTTCTGGTGAAGCACCCGGCTGAAATGGCCTGGACGGGAGAGTCCTTGGACGACCATCTCTACCAGCCCCAGCCAGCAGAGCCACCGAATGGGAAGGACATCGCCGGTCGCCCAAAGCACCTGGAGGGTTCTGGCTCGAGAGAAGGCCAAGCAGCTGTGCTCACCCGCCTCCCGCGTGGAGGCCGGGAGAAACAGCGGTCGCTCGCACCAGGCGAGCCCGAAGTTGTCCCTGGAGCGCATTCGCACGGATTCACCCCCGGCCGCAGCCGCCCTCGGAGCTAAAGATGAACCAGGCCAGCGTCATCAGGCCAGCATCGCGCACAACACGCCGTCCTCCGGTCCCTGCCTCGCCCTCCCTGGGTGCCCCGCAAAGCGAGGGACGTGAGAGCTGTCCTGGGGCCCTTCCTGACCTACACACGAGGGCTCCATATGCTGCCTGGGGATGATGGGGCTTGAAACCAAACTCATCCGCAGGACATCAGCCCTGGGGAGATGGACGTACCCCGACCATCACACTGCGTCGCGGTAAGTGCAGGAGGGCAGCAAGGAACAGGGTCGCCCCTCCTGTGCTGCAGGGCACTCCTGGGGGGCAGCGAGTGCGGCCGGAGTCCACCCAGGTCAGAAAATAGCAACCATGCCACAACAGACCCGAGAGGCAGCCCAGACGCTCCCTCGGGTGCAGCCAGGGAGGCCAAGGCGGGGCGTCAAGTCCGGGTGCAGGGCAAGCGCTGCGTGAGAAGAGGCACATTATTCCCACCCCCCCAACACACTCGCGGAGTTTCTTCTGTCTGTCGCTTATGCAGAAGTTTCTGCCACAACTCAGCAAACAGCCAGGAGCTACCCCAGACAAAAAACTGTAGGCAAAGATTTTAAAGATTTTAATAATGATGATGATGATAATAAAAAAGACGTCGACTGTGGAAATGAAGTCTCCCAGTATCTGGGCCAGTGGGAGCGTCCCAGTTTGCTGTCTGAAGGTGTTTCTGGAACTGCGCAGCGGAGGGGCCACCACCAAGTAGCCCTGCACTGATTTCTGATGAAGCTGTATGAAGACATCATGTCCCTCCTTCCTACCCTTCCTAGCAGCATTTTTTGGGAGCTGCAGCCAGTGGTAATAAAGTGGAGACATCTAGTGGCGCTTGAAGGCCAGACTCAGTCCACGAAGCACCGAGATTTTCCACCCAGGAGAGCTAGCACGGCCGGCGTTTTGAGCGGAGGGGAAAATCCGTATTCTTGTTATGACTGAGTAATATAATCATTACTCAGGCCACTTTGCGACGATAAAGTGAGGCAGGCGAATTCCCCAGAAACATGCCAGCCGCACAAAAGGGCACCGCAGGATCGGCGCCCGCGGATCCTCGCAGCGATAGCAGCAATGAAGACTAGCTGGCTGCGGGGACAACTAGTCGTGCCAGCGGGGTTGTGACGACTGCTAAATAATATTATTATTATTGGCACTGTGGCAATAAACGTCGGCGTTGCGCGTGTGCGCTGGCACGGCTCCCGGGTGCATGTACACGGGGGGAGGCCTACATCTCCCAGCATGCCCCGGCCAGCAGGGAGGAGCACGCTGCGCTCCTCCTTGCTGCTTGCGCAGGGCCGGCTGGGGCAAGCGGCGGCCTACAACTCCCAGCATGCTGTGCGCTGCCCTTCCTTTGTCTAAGCAGGCCTGGGCCGGCGCCTTGCGAGGCCTTAGAAGCCGGCGTGCGTCCAGTCCAACGCCTCGCAGGCGAGGACCGGCAGGCCCGCAGCCATTACAGGCCCCAGCAGCGCTCGGGCGCAGCGCCAGCGCCAGGCCACGCCCCCTCGCGTGCCAAGACGGGAGGCCGCCGGGAAGCTTGTCCCACGCGCCGCGCCGTCCGCCGTTGCTAAGGAAGGCCGGAGACGCGGCCCTTAGCGACGCGGCTCTCGCTGCGCCCTGCCAGCCGCCATGGCCGCCGCCGGGGCCGCCGTCTGCCCGAGCCCCACCGTCTTCCTCCTCATGGTCAACGGGCAGATCGAGAGCGCGCAGGTGAGCCAGCTGGGACGGAGCGGGAGGGTGCGGCGGAGAAAAGTCTCATTCCCCACCGCCCCCCTCGGCAGAGGCCACCGTGGTATGTCCCGCCTGCCTGCTCTGGGGGTTCGGATGCAACCAACGTCCGACGGGGGTGTTTCCTTCCCGGGCCCGGCTCCTGGCAGCGGCCTCCTCCTCCGGCGTTGGCGCTCCTCCGGTTCTCCTCGGCTGGTGCCAAATCGTGAATAGCTGCTCAAAAGTTCCGGCTGAAAACCGGGGTGGACACACCGCCCCACTGACACTGGCGCCCCTGGGGTGGAGTAGCCACTCCAGGTTTCAGCCTGAGCTCTGAATGCGCTGCCCGTGGTGGGAGCTCGCGGCGCCCCCTGGCAAGCAGCAGGACTGTTTTCCCCATCAAAACGTGCGTGGAATTGCACCCCAGCTCTGAAATGGCTGGCAAATTTGACATTAAGTTTTAGAAACCACGTGAACTTTGGCATCAGTTAAGGATGTTCCAGGATGTCAGGCATTTCCAGCTCTATACATTTATATTTCTTTCACTGTGTTGCCACCCTGAGACCTTGCGAAGGGTGGGGTACCAGATCTTTAAATAAATAAATAAAATAAGAGTCGTGTGGCTTAGAAAGGGAAATTCAGGTTCGAGTTCTCGCAGGACTCCCAGGAGACCTCACTGCGAATGGGATTCGTAAATGTGGGGCGGCCCTAAAGCCGTGCACGGGAAGGTTCTTGGGGGAAAGGCGCCGTCCCTTTATGCGTCTTCAGACACAAATCCTAACATGTGTATTTATTATTTGGAGTTCTTGTGCGCCGTCCCATTCGCGTGAGCCTCGGGACGGCTACCCCGCGGCTGCCCGTGCAAAGGGTGCCGGCTGAATGCATGGGGCCGTGCGGAAGGCCTGACGGCGCGGGTTTCGCTTTCAGTTCCCAGGTTTTGACGACCTCTACTGCAAGTACTGCTTCGTGTACGGCTATGACTGGGTTCCCACTGCGGTAAGGGTCTCTGCCGTCCTCTGGTCGCGTCCGTGCTCGACGCTGCCGGTCGAATAGCCCGCATTTGGCTTCACAGCTTGGGCTGCGCTGAGCCGCTTGGCGTGTGTGTCTTTGAAAAGCCCCAAGGTCCGAGCGGTCAGTACTCGGCATCCATGATCCCCAAGAAGAACCTGCATTTCCAGAAACGGTGTTATTGCCCTCAAGGAGCAGTGCCGGGCTGTGGGTGTGTCCCGGCACTGGGCTCCCCGAGGGCGCCTGGAAGTCGAATGAACGCTCAGCTAAAGAAAACAGATCTGTCTGACCTAGCCTGTTGCCTTTTAGGGTCTGGAAGAAGGCATTTCGCAGATCACCTCTAAGAACAGAAACATTCAGCAAGACCTGGTGTGGAATTTCCCCATCGACATCACCTTCAAAAGCACCAACCCGTTTGGCTGTGAGTCAAGCCTTCGAAATCCCTGCTCCTTCGGCCCGGTAGCCACCGGCAAGAGAGGAGAGGCCAAGATGCTTAGAAGGGTCTCCCAAGTGTGTACATGAGTGAGTTGTCCGCTCCAGGAGTTGCTGCTGTGTCTTGGAGACTTTGAGGCCCTGGATGGAAAAGATAAAATGGCCAAGGCAGAGCAACCCCTTCTGCTGAGCACAGGTTTTCCTACCCTAATCTCAGAAATAGTTACCAAGTCCTGCCAAATTCTTCAAACAAAGCTGAATTCCCTGCTGCGTGTAAATTCCACTGATCACTCAAGTACCTTTTCTTCACCTTCTCTTCTACCTTTCTACCAATGACAGGTTAGGGCGAGGAGAAACCATACAGCATCTTGAAGCCAAGCTCCAGTTATGGCTACATTTTGGTGTCCTTTCTGTCAAAGCTGCTGAGCACTCTATGTGGTTGGCTCTTTTCGCCTCGCCCAGTGGCTTCTGGCGGGGATCCCTTGCCACCGAAGCTTTTCCCAGCTCAGCCGCTTTACTGGCCTGCCAGACCACAAAGGCCCTCACCTTAGAGGGAACGGGCACTGGATCTTGGGGAGAGGCATCGAGGTCTGACCACCTTTTCAACTGAAACACCTGGTGCTCACCATCTGCCCAAAACAAAGAAACACTGCAGTAGTTTCAGGCATGAGAAATAAACTCCTCCCGTCACCACACAATGGCAGCACCCGTGAGGTTATTGTCCTTTCCTTCCTTCTTTCTTCCTTCCTTCCTTCCTTTCTTTCAGGGCCACAGATAGTCATAAGCGTGTATGGCCCTGATGTTTTTGGGAATGACGTGGTTCGAGGATACGGAGCTGTTCACGTTCCTTTTACGCCGGGGAGGTGAGTTTAGATGCAAACATCCTGACCTGAGCATTTATTTTTAGGCTCAGACCCTCCCCACTCCGCCCCACACACACCTTTCCTCCCCACGGGACTCAGGCTGGTCGCTGCCCGTGTCCTGTCCCCATTTTCTTGTCTGGGCTTTCCACGTACATGGAATCAGGTATCTTCCCGGCTATGGATGCACGGGGGGTTCTGGCCTTGGGGAGGGGGACACCGGCAGTTTCAGTATTTCCTTGTCACTGAATCTAAGCTTTCGCTTTTGCTATTTATACCCCTCATTTTTACCTGCTTAAGCCACTTCGGCTTCCAAATGTGGACGCTCTGGCTTCCGTTTCAGGCATAAAAGGACCATCCCGATGTTTGTCCCAGAGTCCACCTCCAAGCTGCAGAAGTTTACCAGGTGCTGAGAGAGGCAGCGCACTGCTTTCTGCTCGTGCGTGCAGCGTTTTCCCTCTCTGGGACCAGAGGAGGGGGCCCTCTCCATGCCCTGTCCTTGACCTCTGGCTAGCCAGGGCCGGGGTGGCGCAGGGGAAGCTGTCACCTGTTGGGGGCGGTTCTCTGTGGCTCCAGGAGAAGCAGGCAGGAGGCCAGGAGCCCAGGGGAAAGCCCAGGTCTGTGGGCAAGCGGTCCCTGGGAAGGACCCTTGCTTGGCTCCCGCTCGGTGCCAACCGGGCGTGAGCCTTACCGAAGGTGTGATGGGACAGAGACGAGGGGGGTGTGGAGGGATACCTGCAGGTTTCAGCCCCAGAAGCGGCAGGGCTGCCCAGTGTCCCCCCCTCGCCCCCCCAGTGGCAACTTTTGTTCGCTCTCTCCCAGCTGGTTCACAGGGAGGCATCCGGAATTCACAGACCCCAAGGTGATCGCGCAAGGAGAAGGCCGCGAAGGTAAACGCTTGGCGGAAGCGGGGCTTGGGGTCGCTCAGGCTGCGCTGTGGGAACGAGCTCGTGCGCCCCTGCTCTGCGCTTGCACGTGAGGAGCCAACAACGGGCCGGGCTCTGCGGAAGCATGAGGAGCACAGCGGCCAAGACGAGGGTCCAGAAGTGTCACCACCAGGGCTGCCCCCCCCCGCCCTTTTGGAAGAGAGTGGCAGCTCAGAGGAATTCTCTTTTGGGGGAGGTAGCGAGAGCGAGTGCCAGAGGCATTTGCTGGCGGCGGTGGCCTTTGAGTTATTTAAAGGCGCGACATCAGAGGACACCTGGTTTGGGCCGCACGTCTTTTTCCAAATGTGTCCTAAACCTGAAAGGTGAGGGAAAGCCAGGAGTGTGCGGGGGGGGGGCGGGTGCTGCAGAACGGGAGAACTCGGCCTGCCTGAGACAAGCCACAGCCACCAGTTCCAGGCTTCCGAGGAGCATCTGCTGGGGAACACGAGGGAGGGAGCGGCTGCATCCCTCTCCCGCTCGCAGGCTTCCTGCCGGAGCGTCTGGCTGGGCCCTGCGGGAACGGCGTGCGGAAACAGACGGGTCTCGAGGTGTTCCGACTCCTCTCCCGTTCTCAGATATGCCCGGACCGACGGCCCAGGCAGCGGGAGGCGTGCAGAGCGGAGGCTGCTGCGAGAGCAGAGGCCTCCCGCGAGCAGGACCAGCCCGTTTCCCCCCCCCCCCCCATGTTGCTGTAGAGTCGCACAGTCATGCCCAGCTCTTGGTGACCAGGTCCTTGCCCCCTTCCCCCTCCGCAAATACGGCCTTGCAGCAGCCCAGCCCACCCCACACCGCCCTTCGAGTCCAGTGGCGCTCCGTGGCCAGCCCGGCCCATTTGCCTTGCTAACTGGGGGGGGGGGGGTCTTTAGTCACCAGGGTGCGCTCGCAAGGCTTCGTGACCGTCTCCTTCAACGTGGTGACCAAGGACATGAAGAAGCTGGGCTATGACGTGCTCCCGCTGAGCACCCCCAACCCGTCGCTGACCTCCATCACATAAGCGCCATTGGAGTGGCCTGGCCCGGCCCCACACGACGGCCCCACGTCCACCCCGCTCGGCACTCAGCCGGGCCGGCTCCAGGCGCCACCGCAGTGCTTCCGACTCGCCACCGCGGCTGCAGGACTGCACCTGCTGGAGGGCAGCCTGCGACTTCTCAGTCGGTTTTCCTGCGTGTGGAAAAGGAGCGCAGCCTCCGCACGGCACATGGCGAGGGCTGTTTTGGGGGAGGGGGGCAAAATGGAGCAGCATTTGAAAAGAGGGCCCGCTTTTACTCTAGCGAGCAGTCCAGCTGCTCCCACCTCAGGCTACAGAGTTGGAAAAATAGGTTGCGTTTCCTGTCACTTGCCTTTCCTTGTAGCATTTATTACGGCAGTGCCATAAATCACAAAGCAGGACCTGCATGTGGCATTTATTATATTATTATTAGAAAAAAACATTTGCTCTGTGAAGCGCACCCTCACTTTTGAAAACCCGGCGCTTGGCAATTAGTTCCTGCCCCAGATGCGTTCTTTACAAACTCTTCTTATTGTTGAAGGTTGGAATTTGGTGGCTGTTAAATAGAAAGCGCTCCTTGTTTACTGTTTTGAACTCTTTCTTGAATAAAGGCTGTCACTGTTTACTAGGCAAGTGGTCTCCTTTCTTGATAATGGGGCAAGATTTTTGGGGGCGGGGGGGTTAAGTATATGCAGGCAGATGGGGAGTCCCTACCTGTCAGGTCACACGATTACTTCGCCGCAGGGAAAACCCAAGCAGCCAGTAACTGGCAGCTTTATGGAGATGTTCGATATGAGCCTTAATTCAGTACGAGGCAAGCGGAACTGGTGCGGGGTGTTGTCAGGGCGCATGGGGGGGGGTGGCCCTCAGCAAATGCTCGGCTGCGTTGAGCTGCTCCGGCAGGGGGAACCCGTGTGCCACGGACGGCGGAGTCCTAAAGCCAAAGTGGCGAGGCCCTTCTCCAGCCACTGCGTCGAGCCCGGAGGGAGCCTTAGCAATAGCCCGGGCAGGGCTGGGGGCCGCCCACACGGCCCCTTCCCCTCCCACAGCAGCCTTGCGGCCAAACGAGCCCAAGGTCAGCGGAGCAGGGGGCCGTCCTCCTCTCCGCGCCCGCACCCTGCCTCCTGCCCCACGGGCGCTGGACCAGAATACTTTTTTTACTGTGGAGAGGGAAACGGCCTAAATCTCGGTTCTCGGTGCAGGCATCCTGGCCGTGCCACCTTTGGCTCCCTGCACATTACCAAGGCGCCCTCCGAGGAGGCCCCGTGCCAGTACCTACTCCAAAGTACTGCGATTATTTTCAGAAATCTGGGTTTAGAAAACGGACCGCAGAGCCCCATTCCCCTGCCGTGGGCAGCAAAGAGACTCGCAGTGCGCACAAGAAAGCAGCAGACTCCAAGCCAGGGCCGGGCGGGCAGCGGGAGAAGGGGTGCCGCTGGGCCAGCCTCCCTCCGGCGCCTCGTGCGCAGCGGCATCTCGCAGCACGCCGCCGGCCTCGGCAAAGGCTCGCCGCCCGCCATGCGCGAGTCTGGCCTTCGCTGGCCGGCGGTGCGCACAGCCATGGCGGAGCACGGGCAGGGACAGAGATGCGCACAGACCGGGGCAAATGCAGTTGCGCCAGAAGCCAGTCGCTTTGTTTTTTAATGATGATTTTCTGTAAACGTCCGGACCTCCGCCGGCCTTCGGCAAGCGCCGGCAAGACGAACGAGGTGGGCATCCCAGACGCAGATGGCGATCTCGCATCCCGATTTGCACAGGAGTGTGCGGGCGCCTGCTCAGGAGCGGCATCGTGCCCGCGGTCGTGCCGACGACCAGCTCGCGACTGTCCTTGCGTGCTTCCGGTCCCCGTATCTGGTTGCAGCTTACCGTGCCGACCTCCTCAGGAGACCCAGCTGGTGGGCAGCTTGCGCAGGGACAGGTGTCCAGGAGACATGCAGGATTTCAACCCGCCGAAGTGAGAAGCAGCAAGATCAGGTTCCATTCCCTGCAGCTGCAAATCTCCAAGCAATCACAACCCGGTTAGTCCAATGAAATATCAGGAAAGCGATTCCAACAGAAGTTATATAGATTACAGCGTTTAGAAGTTCTAAACATCAAGAGCAAAAGCCTGGATTCAGCAGCAAGGAAAGGTTCGGGCTTTTTATTAAATTTATACCCACCTCCTTTCCCTCCAATTTCATCCTCACGACAGCCCTGTGAGGTAGGTTAGGCTGAGAGTCTGTGATTGGTCCAGAGTCACCCTGTGGCTTTCATGGCAGAGCAGGGACTAGAAACTTGGCCCTGCCAGGCCAACACTCACCACCGCACCAGGCCAAACGGAAGTCCAATTTTGTTTCCTGAAGAAGGCAGCTTGGGAGTGGGAAAGAAAAAGGAAGAAAGGCATTGGCAGGGCGGAGGCGAGGCCGCCTGACTTCAGTTCCAATCTGCCACGGGCAGCATAGCCGGGGATGCACGTCATCTGGAGGGTGCTGCCAAGCCCAAGCCCAACCCCAAGAAGCGCGCCTGCTGCCCCTTCTTCAGATCACAGCGGCCTCGGTCGTTGCAAGCGAAGAATGTGAAGAATCGACCCGGCAGAAGCGAGCGAGGGCACGGCCGTCGGGGGGCATGCAACGTCTGTCGGAGGGCTGGCTGGTGCACCTGCTCACGCGTGGCACTCCGGAGAGCTGCGGACGGCCTTCCCCGGCACACGGTGCCTTGGCCCAGGCCCGCCTGTTCGCCCATCAGCCCCAGCACTGCCGCCTCTGGTTGGCAGCCGCTTCTTCCAGGCTGCAAGCTCTGGCGGCTACTCTGCTGGGACTTGCCGTCCTGCAACGGGAGGCGGCCAGAGTCCTGCCCCAGGTTTTCCGAATGCCAGGGGTGTTTTCTGCCATGGAACTGTGGCACCTGCCCATCATGGTGCAGCTCCCAGGGGGTCTAAGCAGCCTCTCCCACCCGCTGAACGGGTCGGGTTCCAACTCTCAAGACAGGGGTTGCTGGGAGTTGTAGTCCTACAACCCTGGGGGCAGCAGCTTGGGCGAGGCTGATCTGGAACATTAAAAGATTAAAAAGTCCTGTGCGGCTGGAGAGCCGGGCCAATCGCTCCCTCTCTGTGCAATCAAAATGCCATTTTGGAGACCACCTGAATGCCAGGAGCAATGCAGCTCGATTCCAGGTCAGAGCAAGCCGGATATTCTGCCTTCCAGAGGACAGGATTTAGTACTCCTAGCTGAAGAGCGCGCTGTTCAGCCACGTTCCCTCTGGAATATATCTGGGCACGTAAAAAACCCGGGTGGAAACGAGCTAGAAGCAAAGACAGACTCGATACCGAGGAAGGAGGAAGAAATCCAAGGAATGCTGCAAGAGAGCAGGCATGGAGGTCGAGTTTCAGGCACAGGCTCTGTTGACTGCGGGGAAGACCAGCAGCGCAGGGGCAGAAGGGGCCACATCGGCGGGGGGACGGAGACGGGTTTGCTGGCATCTCAGACTCGGAGCAGATGGCTTGATCTCCAGTTCATTTGGCGGGCGGGGGATGCAAATTAATCACCAAGAGGGATTGCAGGAACTGCGCTGCGGAGCTCCCATCTGTCCGGTTGGTTTTTCATCCCCTCAACTGGAATGCTGCAGCTCTCTCCCGAGACTAATACCGCCCTGAGCTCACCAGCAACGGCATCTCTTAAGGCAGTCCTTCCCACTGGCTTAAATCAGAGAGAGGACGATGCACGCAGATTCGGGCACTAGACGCTTGGTCAGAGGTCACGGACACAATGGGCTGGAGCTTCCTCGCCCTCGGATGGCCTCGTGTGGATCCCAGGCGAGATGGCAGGGCGTTTGGCGGCTTTCCTGTCGCCCGGAGCCCTGGAGCTCCTAAGGTGTTCCAGGCTGGGCTGAAGCCTCGTCAGACTCGAAGACGGGGGCTCATTCCTGATGGGCGTGTGGGCCAGACCCTCGCCGTGGGGCAGCGGCGGTCGCTGGTTTCTACAACCCTCCAACTGGCAATGCGGAACCAGTGAATTGCACCAGCGATTCCAGACCAGAATCCAAAGATGCTGCACTCCTCGTCTTCGCAGGTTGTATTAGCGAGAGGCCAACGTTCAGGACAGAGGAGGCCAAGTTCCATTTTGGCTCCTCTGGGATTCTGTGTTACCCATTCAGTTCTTACAGCAGCATTTCTTGGTTTGGCTGCATTCATTTCTACTTACCTGAGTCGCTGTTATCCGGTGTCCAGGCGGCGTTGACCCAGCTGCCATCTTCCTCCCACCCTTTCTCTGTTCTCTGGCCAGAGATTTGGGCTAATTTCGCTGCCTCGGCCCTGAGCTGCAGTTCCTGAGAGAGCCCAAGGAGGGGTCGGCACACCAGGTGCCCCGCGCGGAAGGTGGCTGGCACCCTCCTTGGCAAGAGAGGTGAAGGGGGCACGAGACGACGCGGGAATGCGCCCCATGCTTTCTGCAAGCTCAGCACAGCTGGGCAAAGCCAGTGCTTCTCCAGGCCACAGTTCTGGGGCAGATGGGCCAGGATGGGGCTCCAGACCTACCTCACAAGATGCCCTTCTTGCCACACGGGAGTGACTGCCAGCCCTCTGAGCAGGGGTCACCCACATCCAAGGTCATCCTGCTCCCCAGAACACCAAGCCGGCCATACTGAACTCAGTCCCAGGACACCTTCGTCCTTCGCTCCAACCCTCTCCTTGCCGAAACATCTCCCGTTCCTTCCCCCACTTTCCCATGTAGGTTTTGGGACAACCCCTGGGTGCCAACACGCCCTCCACAAGCTGACATACGTGCAACAGCGATCGAGGCCCCCGTTTTCATCCTGCCTCTTTTCCCTCCCGCGTCCTCCATCATCTCAGATTTCAGGCCCCGTTAAGGACCTGTCCTCTTGAACACCTGTAAGAAATGCAAGCGACGGTGCACATGTTAACATCATCCGCAGAATGTGGCTCCCGAAAAGAGCATTCCAAATCTGAAAAGCCACGACAGCCTTGAATAAAAGCAACACATGTTTAATTCTGACAAGACACTCAACTCCGACAAGCCCCCACTTTCTACGGTTCATTCTCCACATTTCCGCAACAAGGGAAGGGCACAGATACAAAAACATGGTACAACAGTACAAACGATAATTTATATCCATACAATAAAAGTTCAAGAGCACAAATTCAGTCAAAGGCAACCTGCTCCCGATGCGTAAGAAAATAGCTTGGATATATGTGTGTGCACATATTTAAGATTCGGCCGTGAAAAGGGAGTTGAGCTATTCCAGTCCAGTGAATGCACCATCAATGCATGGTCTGCATTAAACTGCCACCGAGAGCGCTCGACTCCGTAATGGGTTTTCTTGCAATACGGTGCTTCCGGTTAGCCGGAGCCGGCCTCAAGAACTGGGTTTTATAACCCACCCAGGTTTTCCCAGTTTCCTCCGTCTTCCTCTCTTAAGACAAAAAGAAATCTGTGAAGAGAGGGAAGACGCAACAGCCGCGCGATACGCTGCGGAGGGCTGGTCCAGCGTCGATGCATTCTTGGGGCTTCAGGGCAGCACTCAGTGCAAATGCCGGCCAGCTGCAGCGGCCGTGAAAAAAATGCGGATTATGTGCTCAGGTTCGTTAGGGATCGAAAACCAACTTAAGGTGCGGCTCTGCACGGAAGGCTGCGTGTTTCCCATCGCCACTAAAAAGGATATTCTGGCGCTGGGACAGGGCGGCCTGGAGCGTCTCCCTCTCATGAGGAAAGCGAACAGCATCCTGGGCTGCTGGGCTGCAAGAAGGGCGAGCGAAGGGGGCACGGCAGAGGCGCAAGGACTTCGGCATGGCACCAACCAGGTGGGCAGGGAGACATTTCTCCCCCCGTCTCCCGGCACGAGAAGCAGCCGGGGTCCCGGAAAGAAGCTGAGCGGTTTGAGCGGGTGTTCAGGGCAAACCAAAGGGACCTTTTTCCACGACACGTCATTCAATAAGGGAGTTTGCTAGCAGAAGATGCAGCGATGGCCCCCCGTGTGAGTCGCTTTTAAAGGAGGTTAGAGCAATCCGTGGACAGGTGGTGTCAGCGGCTGCTATTGCGATGGCTGCATATCCGCTCTGGGGCGAGAAGCCTCTCCGAAAAGCCGGCGGCGGGCACCCTGCTCTGTCAGGGGAACACAAAGGTAGATTCAACTGGCCTCTGGCCTGAGCCAGCCACACACTTCTTGTGCAATTACTAGGGAGTCCTGAGCGGTATATAAATTCAATAAATAAGCGCCTGTCCCTTTCCTTTTTTCTTTTTCTTTTTGCAGCAGTTTTTGCTCCCTGGGTTGGTTAAATTCCAGGTGCAGAACTTCACCGAGTGCTGTAAACGTGTTTCTGCTCGGAATACAAATCAGAGGGGACAAACACTACTTGCTTTTAAAGTTTGATGGACAATTTAGGGCATAATTCTATGAATATCTGGACAGGAAAACTACCCTGTAATACCCAGCTTTCCCTACTGCAACACGGGTGGTTTTACAATCAGGATTTAACATCCGTGGCTTAAATGCACCACTGGCCAAATTCAGATCCCAGTGAGGCAGGAACTGCCGCAGCCACGCAGCCCAGCAGCTCACGCTAAGCCAGGCCAGGGCCCCATCCAGCCCAGCGCTGCTGACACGGACTGGCAGCAACGGCCTCCCAGGGCTTCAGGCAGGGCCTTTTCCGAGCCCAGGCTGGAGGTTCTGAGGATCCAGCTGCCTGCTTGCTCTAGCCAGCCCCTCCCAGTTAGACCAGTTGGGTGGCTCTGAGGAGGGAAGCGGGAGCAGCTGCAAACGCGCAGCGCCTGCATCAAGACCGGCCGCCAACGGGATTGCGCGCATGGAGCAGCACCTAAGCACCTTCGGACCGACTTCGGTTCCAAAACGGCCCTTCCCCAGCAGGGCGGACAGCCGAACTGTGGGCCTTCCGAGCCCTCCAGGATGGGAGGAGTTGGGCAGGGGGCTCCCGGATGCTCCTAGAGGCCCACGGACAGAAACGGAAGTTAAGGCAGCCAGGGTTCACACCCATTCATCACAGAGGCCGCTTTTACGCCGGGCTTGGCCTACGCTTTTTGCATTGCGTTTACAACCTGGCATCTGGCCTCGAGGAACCCACGCCAGCTCACCTAGCTCCAGTCATCCTCACAAAAACAACCCTGCGAGGTAGGCTAGGCCAAGAGCGAGCAACTGGCCCCAAGTCACCCAGGAAGCTCCACCAGCTGAGCAGGGACTGGAACCTGGATCTCCTAGGCCCCAATCCGACACCCTGGCTCTGCACCACGCTGGGACTTTTCCTCAACACAAATCCTCCGAGAAGCACGGTCTGTTCGTCCCTCCCTGTGCGTCACTTTCTAATTAACAAAATGCTATTAACATCACCTTTTGCACGGGCTTAAAATAAAAAATTGCAAAACCATGTTGAGTTTGAAAACCTCTCCCTTAGGGAGTGGTGGGGGAGGAGGGAAAGGATGAAAAACGGACGTTGTTATTCTGCATCTCATGTTGATTTAAAGGAGAGCAGGAATCTTGGGCTGTGACGGCCAACTCGGTGATGCAGGGTCCTTTGCAGAGCCGGACCTGTGCCTGATGCTCTGAATTTAGACACACACACACACACACACACACACACACACACACACACACACAGAGTCACCTGGAGGGAGATACACCAGCCCTAGCTAAAACATGGTACTTGGCCTGGCCTGGTTTGCTGCAGAATTTCCCAGAGGTTAGGGAACCGCAAACGATCCGGGGTCACGAAAACCTCCTTTTTCTCCTCGGAAAGAGGGGTCTTTTCTTGTGGCCCCTTAGGAGGACAAGCCCAACGCTCCTGGACGAGGGAAGCCACATGCGGTTGGTTGACCGTCCCTGCAGGACCTTTGCCACAGCGCATCTGGAAAGCAGCTGTTTCGTCTTCTCTCGCCGCACGATTTCCAGCACCGCCACTGGCATTTCTGCGGCGACGAAGACGGCACAGCTGACCAGCGACGGCCGGTGGAAAGCGAGCAACCGAGGCTTCTCCGCATGCTGGTCGGACACCAGAGCCGCCATCCCAAAACTGCTCTTGCTTTTTGAAGTATAAATCGGAGGAAGCCACTGGACAGCGAACTGAGATGAAGCCACTCAACTCTGCACGAGTGCGTCTGTGCGCGCAGGGGGGGTGACGCACCTGGAAGTCAGGTTCATTTTACAGTTGCCCTGTTGAAGGAACATGGGTTTTCAAGCAAGAACTCATGACTTAAACCTGAGGGTGGCCTGATGAGAAAGCGAGTCTGAAGACTGAAGACTTCGCAATGAAGACTGTAAACAGAGCCGGTTATTAACATGGAGTTCATCTTTAGTTAGAATTTAGTTGATTAAAATTAACATTCATACAGCAGTGTGTTTCTTTAAAAGTTTCCCAAAGTATTACAAGAGAGAAGTGATCTCTTTTTTCATGATCTTCCACTATAAAAGGCTTCCCACGAGGCTTTCTGCTCCACGTGGGGGAGACGTGATCAGAACACAGGGAGGGGGAAAGGCAACTGTAGTGTTTTCCTTTTAAATGTCATCTTACATTCATATTCCACTCAAAACATATGCCACAGGCGTGTTTCAGTTTGCATTACAAACTCTTTGTTCAACAGGAAAATGTCTGGCAATATTCCCTTTTAAACTCTCTTTATGGAAACCAAGAGCTAAAATATTTATATATAAATACGAGGGCATTAAATCATTAAAAATGACAGTATCTTAATTTTTCAGCTAGACCTGGTAAGTCTATTGAAGCTACAGACTGTTAAATAAGGGCATTATAAAAATGCGCACGAGTGAAACGGAGCACCCATCTTGCCAACTCAAATCCAAAATGGTACTAGTTGCTTTTTTAAAAGTGCAAAAGTTTACAAGGATAACTGTATAATAACAACTGCATAATAATGGCGACGGCCATCCCAGATTAGCTCCCTAGCTTGCCCCAGCGAAGCTGAAGCCAAGCAGCCCACCGCCCCCCTCCTCCCCCTCCTCCCCGCTTTTAACTTGCATCGCAAGTCGAATGGAAACAACACACACACACAGTAATTTCCAAATGAAGCCACTATCGGACAAGCACAGAGCAAAACACTCCTGAACACCAAGTGTTGCATGCCAGCCACTCAGACAGAAGTCCTTGACGAGTCCTTGGAAGGATAGAAAGCCAACACTGCATACGAACGGCACACTCACGGGATTCCACGACCGGAGGAGAGCTTCCTCTGCCGCTGGCGCCAGCCATCTCCACCCAACCCCAGAAAAAAGGGGACAGTTTTGCGCTACATCTTAGTTATGCAAGGAAAATATTTATAACTTCTGGGCTCCCCGGTTCCCTCGCCTTCCTCTTCTTCAGTTTATAAGGACTATGGGTGAAACCAACAGTCTAAAGAGCGCGTGCTTACGGGCACGCTTGCGTCTCAGATCTTTGCAGTACGAGAACGGAGTTCTGACAGACACGGGTCACAGCCACGCAGGGTCCGGTTTACTGTCTACAAAATATACCCAAAGAGGGCTCTTTGAAGGGCAGCTCCTTCCCACGAGAAGTGAAATAGTGGCCAAACGGAGAGGGAGGAGAGCAGGGCCTCCGCCTTTGGCCACTGGGACCGTGTGCGTCACGCGAGGCTCCCGCGAGGCAGAGGGGAGGCGTACCGTCTGCAGCGGGTGCGAGGCTTCGATCAAGGGGGGGCGGCGAGAGGGGCCCGCCGGGAACGCAGCCGTGAGCCGCGTGCCGGCTCCCCGGGGCTCTCGCGCACGCGGTCCGGCCCAAGCCAGCCTCGGGCGGTGCGCTCAGTCCCGCCGGGCGTCCCGCGAGCCCGGCTCCACACCGCGGGCCCTTACAGGAGGAAAGGGTTAGTCGTGTTTGCGGGCTGGGAGGCCGGGGGGGCCATCGCGGCACTGTGGAGGGGCGGCGCCACGGCCCCCACGAGGCCCACGCTCACCCCCGGGCCCATCCTGCTCAGCGGGGCCGCCGGGCCCAGGGCCGGCACGGGCGCCACGGCCACCGCCGCCGGCGCGACGGAGGGCAGCGCGAGGGGCTCCACGGCCACCGCCGGCCCCGTGCCGAAGGACGCGCTGCCACCCAGCACCGGGCTCGACCGCATCTGGTTGAGGGTGAGGGGCTGCGGCTGGTTCACTTGGAAGGGGTTGACCGGAGCAGCGGCGGAGGCGACGGCCGTTCCTGGCAACGAGACAAGAGGGGCAGGGGCGAGAGAGACGGCCGGTTAGAGGGGTTTCTGCCCGCGGCCCCCTGCTGGCCGGGCCTCCCACCACCCCGCACGGCTGCGAGCGCACGGGAAGCGGGCAGGAGCGTCTGCTCACGGGGCTCCTTCCGGGCATCTGCGCTGGAGCAACGGGCCGCCGGGGGACGGTGCTGACCCGTGCCGTGAGGGCCGCGGGGGACGAGCGCACCGCCGGCCCACTTCGGGGGTGGGAGCCCCAGAGCCACGTGGGCACTCCCCAAAGCGAGCCCGCTGCAGGCCCCCGGCGCCCCTTCGAGGGGAGCTCCAGACAGGCGGGCTGCCCCGGTGCGCAGCGCCTCCTTCCCAAAAACGCTGTGGGGCGCCGAGGCCGGCGGGAATTTGCGCGCCAATATTCCATCTGCCACCCTGGCCGGCGTTGCCGCAGCCAAGCATTTCGGGGGATCCTCCTGAGCCACCTGCCTGCTCGGACTGCGTGCCGGCCGCGACGAAGGGCCCGTGCTGCAGACGGGGGCTGGGGCACCGCATTCAGCGAGTGCCTGGGGGCTTGTGTGCGCCCCACGGAGTTCTGCCTTGTCTTACTTCCCACAGGGGACGGACTTGGGAGCTCCCCAAGTTTCGGCCCGGGCTGGCCGTGAAGCTGGAGGCTTTCTGCTCGACCAAAGCAATTCATGCAGTGCTCTAACCCATATTTCACAGTTTTGTCATGAATGTGTAACTTAGTAAGACCATTTCCAAGGAGAAAGAGAGAGAGACACAGAGAGAGAGAGAGAAGCTGGAAAGGAGCACAGAAGAACTTTCCCAGGATATGACATTTGGGCCCGCTGCCAAAACGACGCGTTCCTTGCAGGATGTACAATTCCGTTTGTGTGAAAGGCCTCAGTGACCTCCGCGGAAGGCGTGTCCACGGGCTGCCAATGAGAGAGAGCATGGGCTGCTGGAGCTGGCGGCCTTCCACAAGACGGGCACGTTCTCAGAGGCTGAGAACCAAAACAGCCGGGGCAAGTCGCTGCAGCTTCAACAGAAGGACACAAAACCTCCCAGAGCATGTTCGCAGGTTGCCGAGCCCCTCCTGCTCCGCCACGTCCAGCCCCTGGGCTTGCTCGAACACTTTCCGCCCTGTGGCAAAGGAAGGGAAGATGCTGCCCACCTTGACCCACCGACCAAGCCGCTCTCCGAGGACAAAAGCGCAGCTCTCCAGCTCGCGATACGAGGGCACGAGTGCCTTCCGCCGACGGAGCTCCTTCCCAAGCGCACTGAAGGCGAGGGCGAGCCGGTGGGCGTGCACAGGAGGCAGCCTCACGGGCCGCCTTCCACTCCTCGGGAGCATGATGGGACGAAACTTAATACAGCTCTACCATACACAACATACTGACTGAGCTAATTCTTTCTGTGGCTATTAAGCCAAAGGAGGCCCCACGGCTGCAGCACCGTCCAGGGCCGCCTTCCCAGCTCGCAGGCCGCCTGGCCACGCGGGGTGACAGCTCGCCCCCTCCCCAGCTAGCATGGCCATTGCAGTCAGGGTGGGGAGGGCTAACAGCAAGGCGGGCCCCGGCCTGCCCAGGAAACGGCCACAGAAATGCTACCGGCAGCGGGATCAGCCGCTGCGGGGCCATGCCGAGAAGCCCCAGGGGCCACGCAGAAAGCGTCTGTTTCCCCACACGGGCTGGGCTTCGCCTTCTCGCTGTGCCGGGAACCACCTCTTCATGGAAGCACCAGTGACCCGGTTGGCGTGCTGAATTCCAGGTTACCATGCTGCGCGAGCGAGGCTGTGGTTTGTTGACCACGAACAAACCGGAACAAGAATCCACGGTTTCAGTTGGGTTGTGAACTCTGGGATGGGTTGTTGTTATGTATGAACGCAAAGCCATGGCTTGTCCATGTGCTGTTTTGTCAAGCCGCACAAACAGCGGGCAAGAAATATTTTTTTAAAACCCCACAGGAAAACCAGAAAATACTAGGCACTGGAAGTACAACAGGCAGCCCCCAGGATAAATTATGCTAGAATTGTATCTAATGTCAAAGGGCATAAAGAACACAGCCAATTATGGCTGATATGTAAAAAGACAGTTGTGCAGACGGCTTATTCTCCACATTTTGCAACTAAATCCAGCTGTTGTTAAAACGCAGTCCAAGAAGACAAGCGTTCCTCCGGTGCATCTCGAGAGAGCATCAGAAGTCACTGTGCTTTTGTGACTCTTGACAGCATAACATTTCAGCCTATGCCGCTCCTGTTTCTGCAGCGTTACCTGCTGCGCTGGGGAGCAGTTTTTCCTTCCACTCACCTATCCAGAAATCTTCGTCTCCTCCTCCTTCCCTCACAATGAGAACTAGAATCGCAACACCGAGGGACCCAGGCCGCCGCCTATGTTAACGCTGTGCAAGCTGTTAATTGTGTTTGGGCCACGGCAGAGGCAGGCGCTACCGTGAAAAACTGTCGAGGGGAGACCGCCTGGTGCGGCCTTGAGCTGAGCAGGCTGACTCACGCCAAGCCGCGATCCTCTCCGCGCCCCCGCCCGTGCCCCCCTTTAAGTACCTTGAGTTAAGAAAGGGTTCAGCGAAGGTGCTGGCTGAGGCGGCTTAGAGACCAACGAGTCCAGGTTCACCAGGGCGGCGTTGGGGCCCAGGAAGGACTCGGGGGTCTTCCGGGACACGCTCTGCTTGCCCGAGGCCGAGCCGGCAGGCAGCGACTCGAAGAGGTCAGGGCTGGTCGTACCGCTGTTCTGGGCTGACAACGTGGAACCCGAATCTGCCGGGAAAAGATGCAGCGGGGTTTAGTGCTCCCTGCAGGTCGGGGTGCAGGCTTGAACTCCGCAGGCTTAAAGGAGGGTGGTTCTAAGTAGAGATGCTTGGCCCCAGTGGAGCGTCCTTCCAGATACACCACCGACGAGCTTTCCCGCTTTCTGGCCCTGGGGACCCTCCAATCCGCAGGCGGAGGCACATTATTCCCCCCAAATCACTTCGGTTAACGGGCTCATTAAAGACTATTGCGTGTCAGCCGTTAATCCTATTGGCTAGAAATGCACCTGCACGTCAAGGTAGCAGAGCAGGTCGACAACTGACCTTGGCGGCCTGCTGTAGAGGGTTGTTGGATATGGCACGGATTGATTGTCTCCCTGGAGAACAATCAGAAGCATCAGATGTTTGGCCACCCCACTGTTCTACTGGCATTATTAAAAACCCGCCTGAGTCAGGCCCGAAGATGGCTCCTTAAAAAAGAAGAGCTTGGCCCGCTATCAAAGCACACAGTTAAGAGATATTCAGGATGAAGTCAGGCAAGGGTTCCTTCCCCAACGCCTGGTTATTTTGCTTGTGGTACAACACGTGGTAGGAATCCACCAAAATTACTGTCCAAAAAATAGGCCAGCGCAGTAACCCAAAGAGGGTGGGTGCTTTCAGCCGCTGTCACAGATCGGAGGCACCTCCCCAGGCAGCAGGACCAGTCCAGAAATGCGGAGCAAGGCCCCTCCCGGCCTGAGGCCTGTTGCTATTTGGGCCTGGTGAGCAAATACATCTCACTTCCCGTGAGCATATAGGCAACTTCCCGTGTTCCACCACAGTTTGAGCAAGCTGCATGCTGGATAATGTGGTGGCAACAGAACCCCAGCTGAAGAATCATGTTCCAACTGAATTCCCATCACACGGTAATTGCGAAAGCCACACGGTAATTGCAAAAGCCTCACCCGCCCCCGGGCATGGGAGAACAACTGCCCCAAGGGCCCAGGGGCAAAAGGATTTGAACAAACTCTGCCGGTTCTGCAGAACCGCCGCCCCCCACCCCCCAGGCACAAGAGGTGCCTCCTGCAACTCCCGCCCACGTCAGCAAAGCCTGCGCCGCCGCCTCCCAGCAAGTGGCACCCGAATATCTGAACTCAGAACGCTTATTCACTGACGAGCCAAATTTCCACACCGTCACCTGCCCCAGTATTTTTAGCCAAATTCACCACAAGGACAATGACATCAAGTGTCCCCAGACTTTGGACTGATAGTGCAAAAGATGCGTCTTGATTAAAACTATCGACACTTGATTAGAGTAGGAAAAAACAGCTCAAAATGGCTTAGAAAATATGCTTCCAAAAATACTGGCCTTTCACTGGTTGGCTCTGTTTCTATTTCGTTTTGCTTTTCAACTTTCCTGAGACCTTTGTGGCATCCTTCAGAGACTTTGGGGAAACGGGAGCAGAGACCAAGGCAATGGAAAACATCAAGGCTCCATGGAAATCAAGCAGCCTTTGGCGCCTTGGCTGCGTGTCACACGTACCTTCCTTCTTAGATGTTCGAAGGCTGTCAAACTCAGAGAAGTCATCTTTAATCGTCCCGTTCAAATTGCTGAAGAGGTCAAAAGACTTGCTGCCTGCAACGGAAACACAGAAGATCCTGCCATGAGTGATCTCGGGTGTGTGTCAGGGCCAGGACATTGCCTGCAAGGCCAGAAGGAACGGGCAGCGCAGTGCAGTGGTCAGAGCCCTGGACCAGGACGCAGGAGACCAGGGCTCCGGCCACCCACCTGGCATGAGGTTCCCGGACAGCTCGCCACTGTCCCAGGCACCTCGCCGGCTTCCTCTGGGGAAACCACAGACAAGAGGCTGCCTCTGCATTCACTTCCTGTGTGTGTGTCTGCTTCAGATATGCCACATCTTTGGCGGGCAAGGTGAGATATAGATGAAGACTGGATAAAAAAGCTGATGGCGGGGCTTCTGTTCCACCACGAGCTGAGAAGCCGCTGCCAGCGCTGGGAAGGAGCGAGGGGAAGCACTGCCTCCCCGTCCTTCTCAGGCTGGGCGGCCCCTGGGCGATCCTGCCCGTTCTCCACCGCCTGCTGGGCGCCTTCGCGTTGAAGGGCACACACAGACGTCGCGCCTCCAACTCGTGGTCCCCGTGGGAGCAAACCTCTTTCTTTCGACTCGTCTCCTACCAAAGGCCTGTGCCACCCAAAACCCGAAGCCCCCTTGGGGTGAGCGAGAGCAACCAAGGCGACACGGAACCCCAAGCACCTACCCGAGGCGGAAATGGGCTTGCCGGCGGGCACTGATCCCCAGGGGTCCACGGCAGCCTTTGCCACGGCAGAGGGGGGCTGCGGGGGGGCCCAGGGGTCCGTGTTCTTCGGGAGGGGCTGGGCGGCCGCCGACGCTGCTGGGGCTCCCCACGGATCGACGGAGGCGGCTGGCTTGGCACCTGCAGGCAAGCAGAGCAGAACCCCCCCTGAGCACTCAAGCAGACCTAGCAGAGCACGGGGGAAGCACCGCCTCCGGCTGGAGGCGCCTGGCATTCGGGCCTCTCCGCGGCGGCAGGCCCTGGGCCACTCTGCAGGAAAGGAAGGGGGGGACGCAACAGGAACGGCGCTCAGAGACCCCACTGGGAGTTCGGAGGCAGGCGCTCTCCGTTCGCAGCAGCAGCTGCCCATGAACCCACAGACAGGTGAGCGGACGCCGCACACCCCGAAGCTCAGAGGGAGGCACTGGGGGGCCCCCTGGCCCACCCAAAGGTTCTGCCTCTGGGAAAGGGATTCTCGCTCCCGTCAGCAGTGCTCGCGTCGCCGGTCGTTCAACGGTGCTTTCTGCGCTCCGGAGGTGACGTGTCGGCATTTGCGGACCTTCTTAGCGAGGCTGGGAGATTTCAGGACCGGTGCGACGTCGCCGAGGACGAGGTGTGGACCTGGCTCGACCTGGCCCGAGCCAGCATCTCCACCCCCCCGCCCCCCACTTCCGCACCGCCTCCCGGTGCGACCCGTTTCCCGTGCGTGGCTCGTGGTCACGTCCGTTGCTGAGCAGCAGCAGCAGCGCCGCTGAACATGAGGCCCTTCACCCAGAACGCTCCACAAGCCTTTGGCTCCTTCTGGGTACAGCCTGAGGTTTATCACATTATTTTTTTCCCCTGGAGAAGAAAACCAAGCGGCCCAAATGTTTTCACCAAGTTCCTCTGCCTGTGAGCAGTGCGGGCACGTGCGCAAATTATGCAGAAAACCATGATTTAAATCTAGTCTTACTGCCTAGTGATTTAAATCTGATTTAAATCGATTCATTTTAAATCAACACACCCCCTCCCCTGCCCAGGAACTTTATGGTCAATCCACAATGCCACATTTTCTCACAGTAATCAAAAAAGGGGTGGGCCTTCCCCAAACCCCAACACACACAAATATTTTCTCTAGCCACAGACCAGCGTGAATAGCCGAAATTCACAACACTAAAGCAAGGTTTCTCCCATCTTGTTTCCATTGCCTTTACCACCCCCGCCTCCCAAAATGCCTCAAACCAAAGCTATTTTTACTTTTAGACAAACATTCTGGGCTGTTGTCATTTTAAAGGTATTTGTTGGAAAAACAAAACGAAATTTCTGAACTGTGAGCCCGTTAGCGCGCGGGTGCTCATCAACAGGTGGACGAGTTTTGTTCCAAGGTTGGCTCTTTCCAAAAAACAGGAAACTCTGACATGCTTTTAGGAGCACACAGCTAATCGCGTCCCGGGCTGCCATTTCCTCCTCCTCCTGCTCAGTTTTATCAATGATGCCATGCAAGAAATGCTAATGGCCGGGGCCTGCCAATGAGTGAAGCCTTCCAGAACAGTTGCTCTTTTATGAGGCAGATAACAATGGCAGACACAGTCAGGAGAGGCATTTCGCTTGATATCTTCTTCTGAAAAGTCCCTTCGTTCGCTGAAATGCCAGCCCAGCTCACCAAGACTTTAAAATCTCTGTTCCGCTCTGAGTCACTCCTTTTACCCGCGTTCGGATACGTAAATCTAATTTCTTGAGAAACTCTCTTCGGGAGCCAAGTAACTGGCAAACGAGAACAAGGGGCTGCTATCACCAGTGTTAATGAATGCTGGAAGCCAAGGAGGGGAAAGACCGCAGCTGCTGCTGACGGGGCGGAGAGGCAAGGTTTTGCCTGCATCTCAGCAGACAGAATTTATTTCCCGACCCTGCCCTGAGAAAGGGAGGCTCGCATGAGAACCCTGACTGAGCAGAACCATGGTCCCCGGCCCTGGGTTCCCCAGCACTCCCTCCACCTCCAGTCCCGGCACAATTAACTCCCGTGCTCCGCGGGAAGAGACGGCGGAGGCAATTTTGCGCCAGGGGCGCCGTCGGCCGCGCAATATGGCAAGGTGTGCCATGCACGGTCTGGACCTCGGGCCGCTCCAGGCAGCGCCGAGCACCTGCACCCACACGGCCCGAGCAATAACGAGCTATTTGACCAGAGCAGTGAATGCGCGAAGCAGCGCAGAAGCCTCTGCGAGGCGCGGTGAATAACCGGAGGAGCGGCGGCGGTCGGAGAAGGCCGCCTGCATTTCTAGCTGGGTAGAGAAGCCCGCTCGAAGGGACCCAAATGTTCCGCTCCGGAAGAGCAGGGCCGTGGTGCACGGCGGCAGCCCACGAAAACCAGCGCAATTATGGCACGCTGAAAGAGGTGACTGGCGATTCCGGCAGGCCTGCTGAGCAGCTCGAGAGATCCATGGAAAACGAATCGGGGCCCGTGGAATGCTCTCCAGGGCAGAGCCAGCAGTCCTGCCTCTCTCCACAAGGCAGCAGACTGTCCCGGAGGATTTCAGCCTGCCAGAACCTCTCCGGGCACAAAGACATGCCGCCTCGGCCGGGCCGATGCCAACTCTTCGTTCGCCGATCTAGGCCGAGGGCAGGGCACAGGCGGCCCTCCAGAAGCGGGCACCGTGCGACTTTAGTCAGCTCTGAGCAGCAAAACCAGCATCGGGGATGATGGGAGATTTGGCCCGACTACATCTGGAGGGCCATGTTCCCCATCTGGCGCTTGGCCAGCCACTGCCTCTTGCCCACATGGGGAGCAGGGCGCCAGGAAAGCACACGCCCCGCGGGGAGCTGACTGGGCAAACCGAAAGCCGCTCTCTGAAAGTTACAGGTAAAGGCAGCAACCTGTCACTGTTCCAAAGGGCTCTGTTCCAGTCACACCCAGGCCACGAATTCTCCCTCATCAGTGCGGTACGCCAAGGAGCTTTGCCACAGCGCTCGGACGCACCAGCCTGGGGGGTGGGGGGGCTGCCATCCCTTTCCAGTAATATACGATGAACGGCAGCCAGTGAAAGAGTGTCGATTCGCAGCTCCCAAGACTTTGGCAAGCTTCTTGCACACATACACGTGTCTTTAGGGTGTGTGTACGTGTGCGAGAGAGAGAATTTAGTAAAAACTTCTCAGGTTGCCTTGAACCATCACGGCTTGGCCATTATCTGCCTCACAATCTTGTGAGTTGCTCGGAGAGGCCCGTGCAAGGAGAGGGTGCTGCTCGGTGATGGAGCCCCCACACTGCGGGCAGGAGGCCCCCAACTCCACCCCAGCATCCCCAGCTAGAGCTGCAAAGAGCCCTGCGTACAGCCCTGGAGAACTGCGGCTGCCAGTCAGTGTTGGCAACACTGGCCCAGACAGGCCCATGCCCTGACCCAGCCTCCTGACTCCTATCATTAACGCATCTACTGCCAACACCCACGGATAAAGCAGGAATGCAGAGTGACGCGAAGCGAAACCAGCCGAGGTTCCTCTTGAGTAAGCAAACCTCCTCCCCGCCTCGGGACACGCGAGTGCTTCTCTTACCGACTCCTCCGCCCCCAGGAGGCCTCCGCATCACAAGCTACATAAAGCACGAGCTCACCCACTGGCTCCCTCCGTACGCAGGAACGCACCTCGCAGCGTCTATGCACGAGATGCAACAGACTGTCTGGCTTAGGGTCCAGCAGCCGCCAGCGTTTCGCCTCTGCTGCCAGGGATTAAATGCAACAATTAGCACGAGGGCACCGTCGCCCTGGGACTCCACCTGAACTTTCGTCCCGAAAAGGGAAGGAAGAGACGTGCCCACAAGCGCGGCTCCCCCTAAGCACCCTTGCAGAAGCAAATGCTGTGCAGCTGCGATTCAGCTGCGAGGAAGGGGGCAACTCGGAGCACAGCCGGGCAGAGCGTAGGCACGGGCAGGGCTGCCAACCTGGAAGGAACGTCCTGCTTCCGGGGAAGCACCCATGAAGCAAACCGGGGCCGGAGGGGGGCTGATCCGGGAGAGCAAGCGAGCGAGCCCCCGTCGGCCGTTCGCCTTGTCCTTACCAAACGACTGCCACGGATCCGCGGTGGGACTGCTGGCGGCGGGGCCTCCCCAGGGGTCCGCTTGGTTCGCCGCGCCCGGTGGCCCCCAGGGCTCTGCCTTCTGGGAAGCGGGCGCCGCGGCGGGCAGGGCGTCCATGAGGTCCAGCAGGGTGGGGTGCTGCTGCGGGGGGAGGAAGTCCACGTTCAGTTTCGCACGACGAGCAGGAACAAATCTCGCGCTCTGTTTTTAAGCAGGCGAGAAAGAGTGGTGCCGCTGCATTCCCTGGCATGCCCCAAGGCGCTCGTTTGGGCTCCTGGCCCAGCACAGAGTGGTTTGGGGGCAAGCGTGCTCCTGCACACGTGCGAAGGGCAGCAGCCAATGAATGCAGGCAAGCTACATTTCCTCTCAGCTTTCCCCGAGACGGCCAGGAAGGTCTTCAGTGACCAAGGCTTACCTCCTTCTTTTTGGGGATTTTGACTGTATCTCTGCGACTCTCTTCCAAAGCCATCTGCAACCTCAAATCATCACCACGACGAAGACGCTCTTCCTGCAAAAAGGAGCGGCAGGAAGGGAGTTCAAAAACAGTCCATCCACTGCAACTACAAAACTAATAACCGAGTTCTCTACTGAGAGCACTCAAAACGGATGTGCAAAGTTAAAAGACAACACACTGCAACAAGCGTAAAATAAAAAAAAAACCAAATCAGGCGTCACTTCAAAATGTCACTCAGCAACACATGTTGAAGTACGATGACACCAGCTGGCCAGCGAACATGTAAAAATCAGGCCGATATGCAAGCAGAGACACAACCAGCAGCTAGTATTGTGCACCCAGCAATGGGGACAACGGGAAAGGGTGGACAGAGGTCTCTCTGAATGTCACGAGACATCGTTAAGAAAGCCCCCCTCAACGAAACCAACACCCGACCTGCTCCTGGCTTCACGACCTCAATGCTTGGATCAAAATCTTACTGACATCGACCAACAAGTTAAAATGCAAGAGCCGAAATGCCTCGATTTCCCCATCATGTTTCACAGACGTCACCCCGGCACGTTTTAAGGACTCGGAACCTGCCACGCTTGCAGGTTCTGCTCCTCGGGCCTCGGCTGCAGAACCAACCGGCATGGCGAGCCCAGGTCATCCAGAAGCGGTTGCGCTTCCAAGGAGAGTGTGCACTTCATTCTGATGAGATGGGTGAATGCCAAAGACACGGGATCTGCTTCTGCCAGCCGCGATGACTGGCGGGGGTTTCCTGCGCCGGGGAACACCGAGCAGAGGCAGCCAGGCCGGGAATCGGCTCCTCTCGGGTACCCTTCACCCGAACCTGAGCCGTTTCGGGGCACAGGCCTGCCTCCCCAACGTGTGTGACGGACATCCTAGCAAAGCGGGCTGGCTGGGTACAAGCCGCAGGTTATGAACGGGAAGAGAAGGGAACCCACCTGCTGCGCGACTTCTCTGCTCATCGCCAGGGCCAGCTGCAGCTGGAGCTCCTCCTCCCCACTCGTCTGGGGCCGCGCCTGCTCCAGCTCCGAGGACACGCGAGGCGACGTGGCTGTCGGGAGGAAAGGGGGCACAGTCACACCGGCGCTGCCGACCGGACGCGAGGGCGAGGGCAAGGGCGAGGCCGAGGCACGGGCCGGCTCCTGCGGCCACCCTTTTCAACACGCATCGTCAACAGCCGCTCGGCAGCAGCCGCGCCCCATGCACCTGGCAGAGGTGGGCTGCGGAAGGGCCACGCTGCTCTCGCACCCCCTTGCTCTGCTGTGCAGGGGCTGCGCATCCCAGGATAATCCCGTTCCGCAACAGGGCGGTCCGTGAGCAGGGGTGGGGTGAGTGCCGCGGCGCCCACTGGAGCCATCGCTCATCGTGGGCTAAGCAGCTGAGCTGTCGCTTTCAAACCACTGCAGTCCAAGGACAGCCTGCTCTTTCTTTTCCTTCGGAAGCCTGAAACCATCACCGGTGAAGCCCCGCCCGGACGACTGCAGAGCATCCTCCTCCTGAAGCCCCAGAACTCGAGAGCGGACCCTCAGGCCGCCTCTCCCGATTCTGACTCTGCCTCCAAACCTGCTTTGCTCTGTCTCGCCTGATTAAGAATCTGAAGGTTGAGAGAGAGCGTGTGCACGGGCCACGAGGGAAGCTGCACATGCGTGGCTTCCGAAGGAGGCATGGGCTGGAGAAGCATCTAGCCGGTCCAGCGGCCTCGGTGTGTGGCAGTGACCACAATTCTCCCCCCATCCCGAGCGTCTGAGAGTGGCCGAACCTTTACTGGAGCTCGGGAAGGGCAGAGTCGGGGCACCTGCGCATCCAGCCCATCACATGGCTCAGCAACAGACACCGTGTGGAGCCGTAACTACTGTAAACATGGCACTTATCCATACATGACACTCGGGAACAATTTGCGGTGCTGATGCGCACCTGCGAGCATCCGCAGCTCTCCCCAGATACACAAGCAAGCTGCGAGGCTTCGCACTCCTCTGGGTTTGATCGCCAAGTGCTTCCAACAGAGGCTTTGAAGGACACCGGCCACTGAAATATCGGCCTCAAATGTTGACATTACTTGTCCACACAAACAAGGCTGGTTCAAAGGCTGCAGTAACCAGAACGACTCATCGTTCCGGCTTATGGTGAGTGACCCGACAAGCTGATGCGCACCACCGGCTGAACCACCCAGAAACCACGGTCCGTTTAGTCTTAAATCCAAGTGGGGCTTCCCAGGGGAAAAGGAGGCGTCATGAATCAGAAAGAGTCCCACTCACAGTGCTCCATGCACCTCTGCCAGTGAGCGCCACCCGCAAGACTCATCGCGGGAGGACAGGATGCGGCGCAGAGCAGCTCAAGCGGCAAGAGCAAAAGTTGAGGCGTACGCCAGCCATCAAACTCGTAACACGACACCTCACTTTTCTAACCCGAACCCTACTCTGGTGTCCTATTCTAAGGGAAAATGTAGGGGGGAAGTAGAAAGAAAACATCGGAAAAAGCCTTCCTGGAGTAGCTTTTACTGCACAGCTCATCCTTTCTGAACACATTCCAACCATCAGAATCATGCCAGGACGCCTCGTTTCTCTAACCCTAACCCTACCCTGGTGCACACCCCTAACCCTAGTATAGGGCTAGAGTTCCATTGAAAATAATGCGATTTTGAAAAAGCCCCCCTTGAGTAGGTTTTTCTGCACAGCTCATCCTTTCTGCCCATTCTAAACACATTCTAACCATCAAAATCCTGCCAGGGCAGCTCGTTTTTCTAACCCTAACCCTACCCTGGTGCACACCCCTAACCCTAATACAGGGCTAAAATTCCACTGAAAAGAGGGCGATTTTGAAAAAGCCTTGAGAACCTCTTTTATTTAACCGGTATTTTAAAAATTAGTATTTCAATCGTTCTGAACAGTCGCTTTGATTTTGACTTTTATGTAAATTTTTATCATATTATGTTATTAACGTATGTGGTTTTACTGTATTTCAATTTTAAGGATTGTGCACCGTCCTGAGATGCCAAGCATAAGGGACAGAATACAAAGGTTTTAAATAAATAAATATAAAGGGACATAGTTCAGGGTCACACACACGTCCAAGCGCAATCTCTGGCCCTTCCACAGGGCTAGATGGGCAAACTGACACCCGGGGATCGGCTGCCGCCGGTGTGCCAGCAACGATCATGCAGAGACTGGGGGAAGGGGCTGCTCCGTCCACCGGCCTTTTGCCCACTGGCAGCTGCAGCCAGGGCCAACGCCTCGCTTCCCCAGCCCACCTCACCCCCCACCTCACAGGGAACCCTTAAACAGCTCCCGTCTAGAAAGCACTCGTTCCTTGGCTCGTGCTCGAATGAAGCGTCATGCTTGGTTGGATCCAGGCGCAATGGGCACAGGAGTTCCCCAGGTGACGAAGGGGGCGAATCTGTGACTAAACACTATTGAATGCCGTGACTTGCCAGAGTGCAGGATTTCTCTGAAATCACGCAACTTCGCCTGCCGTTCAGCTGCCGTTATTCCGCTACCTTTAAGCCAATCTAAAGGTCATGCTTAATGGCTCTGACTGATTTACATCCATAGCTGTGTTTCAAATTAAGACCTACTGATTATACTGAACCGGGTTTTATCATGTTTAATGCGGGAGCGCTATAAAAATGCATTTATGCATGGAAATGACCTATCACCTCATTTCATTTTAGATTTCAAATTCCTGGAGGAATCCAGATTCCACCAGCACCTCGCACTCAGCCTATCTCTGAATTTCTTGTATTATCAGCAAAATGCTTGATTTGCAATTATCTAGCACACAAGGTTATCTAGCCTTGCTAATGCTGTCATGCAGAGATGTTTCATCCACAGTATCTCTCATGACAAATCGAGCCAGATGCTTGTGCAAGATGGCACGGAGACGATCAAGGCCTGGCATCCTGAGCCCTCTGCGGTCCCCGCTGTCAGAAATCTCAAGATTAAAGCTTCACAGACCACACGGAAGGCACTGACGGATGTTTGCTGTCACAGAAATACGCCCTGGGCTGACTTCCCCAAGAAGCCTTTGCCTACAGTTCCCAGCATTCCTAACTTCCAGCAGGTGTTCGAGAGCAGATCTGCTCTGCTCTTGGTCCTTGTAGCCAGCAGAGGTTTTCGTGAATCTTTCCAAAGGATCTGCTTACTTTCGCAGACTCCAGAGCTTCCCTCTCACCAATCTGTGTTTGACGCCACGTCAAGTGGGGAAGGGACAGTCATGTTTATCAGAGGGTGCTGGCATTATCTCCACAGAGAAGCTCTCCACAACCTTCAGGCATCCCAAAAGGCCAACCTCCAGCTGAGTTCGCCTCACCGTTTCCTGTAACCTTTTGGCTGACGTGACCAGACAGGGAACCCCACTGAAACGATGACCCGGTTCAGAAGACACAGCAATGTTCCATGAGCAGCTAGCCATGGCGGGTCACCACGTCATCCAAACCTGGCCTGCTCCACCCACAGAGCCGTCTTTTTCCTTCAAGATGCTAGCTGTCCAAACTCAGAAAGGTGCGTGAGATGAACCTTTGCCCTCCCCCAAGGAGCTGGCTTCTCAGGAAAAAGTGCAAAATGTCCACCGCCCCGGCATCTGTGAATGAGGTTACCCCTGCCACCCTTTCCACAGGCAAAAACCCCGCAAGCGTTTGCCGGGCAGCTCAGCTTCGACAAGGGAAAAGCAAGGCAGGAAAAGCAAATATTGGGGTCACCACACAGAAAGGGGACCTGTTGGCCTTAGGCGGCAGGTCGCCATCCGTCCCCTGCAGACGCTGCCCTCCAAGTTCTGCGCCCGGGACGGCACGCCGCATCTCCACTGTCCTCTGACCTCAAAGTAACCCTGAGCAGAGCAGCCTTGGGGTGGCTCAG